GGGTCACATCGGGTGCAGAAATGTGGAGATAAAATTAAGGGAATTCTTTGGAGGGTCCTACAAACCTTGACAAAATAATTTAATTACAGAAAGGTTTAATTTAACCCCTGGGGACAAAAGAGAGAACAGCATTTCTCACAAATATTTCTCCTTTGAGTATAAATCTAAAACTAGCAACACATGAACTGCCCTGTGAGTTATATTTAACTCACGCTTGTTTTGAGCCTGAGACTTTGAGAAGCAGAGATAACTCACACATTTAAGTTAGTAAAACACTGTGGCTCCAACGGGTAAAAAAATCCCCCCCCCCCAGTTCAAAGGGTCAGTTCTAATTTTTGGGGGGGGGGATTCATTGAGGGTAACAAAGTTGTTTTTTTTTAAGATAGTAAATTTTCTGTTTTGTGGTTTTTTTGTCTGTTTGTTTATTAAATCATAGCTGTGTACATTAATGCAATCATGGGTATTTTCGTATACAATTTGAAATATTTTTGTCAAACTGGTTAACATAACCTTCACGTCATTTTCTTAGTTATTGTGTTAAGACATTTATATTCCACTTTTAGAAAGAATCACTTGACCCCTTCGAACCTTTGTTTTTTGTGGCCCGTCCGGTCGGGTTTTCGGTTGCCTGCTGGAGGTGTGGGATACTTCCTCACGTGTCCACACGTCCTCCGGGTTTTCTGTTGCCAGGTTCTGTCCAATATTGATGAACTGTTTGACCGGGGAGAGTTTTCCGCAGCCTCGGATCCCGGCTGGCCAGATTGCTTCAACACCGGTGTCTTTGTGTTCAGACCCTCTCGGGGGACTCACAGGCGTCTGCTGCAACACGCGGCTGACCACGGCAGCTTCGACGGTAAGTGAGGGGCTCCGGGAAATTTGGGGAAGAGGACTGCCGAGGACCAAACCCCTGCCCCCGCCTGTTTTTTTTCCCCTGCACCTTGAATGGGTTGCTTGAGGACAAAGAAGAGAATTTTATAAAAGGGTGATGGGAAGAAATGAAGAATTCTGTACGTGTGCGTGCAGCTCAGTGGGAATGTCCTCGATGAGTAGACATAAGGGCTGACAGGGCCAAACCTTTCTCTAAAGGACCAGATATTAACACCTTTCCTGTTCCAGGCCAGGTGGCCTTTCTTGCAGACATTCCATGCCTCACAAGTTGCACAAAGTTAGCCCCTGACAACCCAGTCATGCATCACTGTAAGATGCATTCTAAGAAATCAGACAGTTAGGTGATTTTGACGCTGTGGGATCCCTTACACAAACCTAGTTGGCGCAGGCTTCTAATAAATGGTGCAAAAACCTACCACCAAGTGGAATTCACTGGGGAATGAGTGGTGCCGTTTGCAGACAAGGTGTAATTTTATTCTTAATTTTTGTGGTTATCGATGGAGAGTTTTGGAGACAACGTACACTCATTCTTATCAATAGCTTACCAGCGGTCCTCAATCTACAACCACATGCGGCCCGCTAAGGACATTTATCTGGTCCTCTGGGTGTTTTTGCCACCGCTGCCTGTCCTGTTTAGCAGGCGACTCGTCCTGGCACCACAATCCGGCTCTCCAGTGGTCTGAGGGACAGTGAACTGTCCCCCTGTTTAAAAAGTTTGAGGACCCCTGGCTGCGCTGTTAGTTTTGAGAACAGATAGGACGGGTCAGCTGGCAGAGGGGAGACCCAGAATGAGCCACCCTGAAGGCAAGCTTTTGCGTTCAGCCCTTGGAAGACGTCTTGGCTGCATTCCAGCAGACTGCATCCTACTTTGCTAACCTTTTGTGTTTGCTAATCCTGCAGGGGCCGATCAAGGTTTATTGAATAGTTTCTTCAGTAACTGGTCGACAGCAGACATCCACAAGCACTTACCGTTTATCTATAACCTGAGCAGTAACACTGCGTACACGTACGGCCCTGCCTTCAAACAGTGAGTGCCCCAAATTCACGGGGACAAGGGCAGCTCTGTCTACCACTGTTTATGAACCGTTCCATCTCTGAACATACATTACCTGTTAGCATATTGGGAAAATAATTTATATATATGTATATATAACTTTATTTAAAAATTAAATTTTATATAAAAATTATATACAATTACATATATATACTTCATATATATTTTATAATATATGTATAAATTATATATATATGCACGAAGAGGGTGCCGAAAAAAATGTTATACACATTTTAATCAGGGAAAAAGCTGTATTAAAATTGTAATACTCAGGCTAGGTGCCTGTAGCTCAGCAGCTAGGACGCCAGCCACATAGACCGGAGCTGTCAGGTTTGAACCCAGCCCAGGCCTGCCAAATAATGACAACTATAGCCAAAAAAATAGCCGGGTATTGCATCCTGATTTAGAAACATGTTTGTAATTTCCCCTTTATAATAATATATTTTCTCCAATTTTAATATCAGGTGTCTCCAGATTAGGTAGAATGATTTTAAAGTATTTCTTCTTTTTCTGTTGTCTATTAGATTGGGTGTGATCTGTTTTTTGAAATTATCTTTTCCTTTTATTTATAAATATTAGTTGTCTGTTTTTTGAGACTTTGGAAAAAAAATAATAAGTTACCTGATGACTCCATACTGAACCTC